CTGGAGAGAAACCTTATAACTGTATTGAATGTGGGCAGGCTTTCCGATGGAGAACAGGACTTACTGAACATCAGAGAATTCATAGTGGAGAGAAATCTTACAATTGTAAAGAGTGTGGAAAGGTTTTCCACCAGAGAACACGTCTTGCTCAACATCAAAGAATTCATACTGCAGAGAAACCATATAAATGTAGTGAATGTGGGAAAGCCTGCCACCGAGGCACACATCTTACTCAACATCAGAGAATTCACACTGGAGAGAAACCTTATAAATGTAAAGAATGTGGGAAGGCCTTCTGCCATAGAACACCTCTTGCCAAACATCAGAAAAGTCATACTGGAGAGAAACCTTATGAATGTGATGAATGTGGGGAATCCTTTTGCCAGAACAGAGAGCTTAGAAAACATCAGATAATTCATACTGGAGGGAAAACTCAGGAATGAGGAAAGGGCTTCCTGGATTAACTGATTGCTTAATCAATATGAGTGAGTTCACGACAAAGGAAACTAAATGTAGTGAATATGGGAAGTTCTTCCTTGAGAACACACATGATAGGAATCATACTGGAGAGAAACTTTGTGAATGCAATGATTTTGCATTTAAGTAGCATGAGCAAAATTTCAGCCAAAGCACATATCCATTTAATATTAAAGAATATAAAAGGAAATCCCTATAAATGCAGCAAATTCCTGTCTCATTTCTCAGTGGCTATTCCAAACCTTTTTCTCCTTAAGACCACAGATGTCTCCTTAAATCTTATGGAAACAATATACAACATTTTTTTTAGCTCATAGCAAAAGTATTTATTAAGATGAATGGTAAGAACAATAGCTATAAAACCCTCCCAACAACCTGGGGTACACTCACAAAACCACCGAACGTTTGTGGGAAGAGTGACCACCAACTTGGAGTGTGATAGGAGTGAGGCATACATAGAAGGAAACACACATGGGCAAGGCCGTTCCTGCCCCTTGTATGGCAAGGACTAGAGGTCCTTTCCTTTTAGAGCCCTTTCCATAGCTCAGATCTTGATTGCTAAGGTCACTATAATATACTCTTTACTGAGAAAATGATGGTAATCTCATAGTTGTTCACTCCCTTAACTTTCAGTCCTCCAAAATCCCCGCAGCTTATCACTCCAAACTGTGTTGCAGTCATAGAAGAATATGTACACTTTGCTAAGGCTAAATCCTTGGTCTGTGCCCTTGATCTTATCCTTTCCTTACTGTTCCAGAGCTTTATTCTAGTACACATTCTCTCTCTCTCTCTCTCTCTCTCTCTCTCTCTCTCTCTTTCTCTCCCCCCCCAATCTTTTTACTCTTTACTGGCTCATTTCTAGTTACGCACAAACATACCCCAGTTCTCCCAATACCAAAAAGAAACAAATCCATCATTCTTATGCAGCTATGCTTTTTATGCAGTTACCATCCCATATATCTTCTACTCTTCTAAGCTTCTTTTAAAATTTTCTTATACACATTGTCTCTAATTTGTCGTCACCGTCACCACCATCTCAACAATGCCTTGCAATCTGATTTCTTGCAACCACTCACTTGAAACTGCTCTCTTAAAAGTCATCATCGTCTTCCTAATTACAATATTCAATAGTTGTGTTTTCATCTCTTTCCCTCTGAAGTCTTAGACACTGTTGATTTCATATTTTTTTTTTGCATATTGTCCCCTTGTCTTCAGAGACATCGCACTTACTTGATTCTCATGTGATTTTATGTGCTGTTTTCTTTTTTTAACTGGTTATTTTTATGTTCCCTAACCTTTTAAGGGGGATGTTCTCCTAAGGTTTTACCCTTGGCCTTATTTCCTTTTGCTACTCTCCCTATCGGGAATCTCATCGAACTTCCTTTTTGGGGAAGGGCCCAGACCAGCCGTTCCTCATTTGCTAGACTTCACCACAGTTCCCCTAAGTTAGCATCTCCTTCTTCTCTCCCCACTTTTCAGCTTTTTTTTCCATCTTCCCTTCTATATATTATCTTCCTACATTGGAATGTAAGCTCCTTGTGGCCAAGGACCTTTTCTTTTTGCTTATGTTTGTATCCTCAGGACTTAGCACATCGTAATAAATGCTTGTTGGCTGACTGGGAAGAGATTGTCAAAAGTGTGTCAGAGGCCAAAGTGGGAAAAATACAGCAGAGAGAAGAAATGACTTAAGCAAAAACTTTTTCACCCCAACTGTAGGTTTACAGAAAACCTTCACCAGCTTCAGCTTTATTTGGACTTTAGAGGAGAGAAACAAACACTTCAAAGAGGCAAATTTAAGCTTGATGTTCAGAAAGCATCCAGAATGGGTTCCTTAACAAGTAGTGAGCTTCCTGTCATTGGAGGTCTCCAAAAACATATAGACTCCAGGTGACACACTTGTCAAGTGTGTAGTAGCAGGAGTTCCTCTGTGCCTATGGGTTGGATTAGATAGCTGCTGAAATCCCTTTCTATTTCATATCAAATTCAAATTCAAGAATGGTTTCTATATCAGTAATAAGCAATTCTGTTAAAATATAATCAGGTTTTGTTTTTTTTTGTCATGTAATTCAGTGGTTGCCATGTCCAGTGCCTCCCTGTTCCAAAGCTGAAGAAAGTACTTAAGCTGTATAGACATGGAGCTCCTATATAGTGTACAAATCTTGACTTCACCCATTATTCTTGATCCAGGTTTACCACCTTTTCCCCTTTTTTTCTTGACTTCCATATACGGTACTTTATTTTTGTTAATACAAACATTTTAATGAAAGCAATATGAGTTTTTTGGTAAAATTTTTTATGTTAAACTTTATTACAACATGAGAAAAGAAAAAAAAAACATTGCCATGTACACAGCAGACTGTAAGAGAGTATTCAATATAAAAAAATAAATTTTCATTTCAAGAAAACTTATATAATAAATACATGTAGTTTTCAAAGCTGCTCAGCTTTTCTTTGCTTCCTTGTCGGTTTTCTTTTCTCTGCTGTGCGCTTTTTACTTTATTTTTCCCAACCCTAAAGAAGGCTAAAATTAAACACACACACATACATACGTATATATGTATATATATATACATATGTATGGATATATATATGTATATACATATACATGGATGTCTATAAGCATACATGTATGTACTCATACCCATATATGCTTTATTTTCTCCTATCATCTGTTTTTCTGAAGGTGGATAGCATCTTCATAAGTCCAAGTCTTTCCATGTTCTTCTAAATCAACCAGCACATGATTTCCTATGCCACAGCAATATTCCAATCCAATCACATCCTATCTGAGAGATTGTCTTTGAAAGTTTTTACCCCCAATTTTCTGTATTCCTTCTGTTCTTGGCTACATAGGTTTCATTTTATACAAGAAAATTTTAATTTAAAATAATAAAAATTGTCCTTTTTATACTTAATGCTCTTGCCTTATAATATAAGGTCTGATACTGCTGAATCTACTTCCTTTACATCTTTTTCCCCTGGTTTCTTTGAAGCTCCTGACCTTTTTCTTTTTCCAGACAAAATTAACTTTGTTGTTGTTTTTTTCTAACTCATTAAGTTAAATTTTTTTTAGTAATTTAGTTGGGATGACCTTGAGTAGATTAGTTATTTGAAACTATCATTTTAAAAATTATATTGGCATTACCTACCCATGAACAATAAATATTACTTCAGTTATTTAGATCTGAGTTTATTTGTATAAAAAGTGTTTTATGTTTATGTTCATATAACTCCTGTGTCTGTTTTGGCACGTATATGCTCAGGTATTTTATACTGTCTAGGTATTTTAAATGGTCTAAAACAATATTGAATAATATTGCTGACACAGTGTAGTTTCTCTATTTTTCACTTTTGATTAAATATATTTTAAGTTTGACTTTGTCTGAGATCATGATTACTATCCCTGCTTTTTTTACCTACTAAATTCTACTCCTGCTGTTTATTTTTTTATCTTTGTGTATATCTCTCATTTTTATAATATTTCCTGAAAGCAGCATATTGTTCAATTCAGATTTTTAATCTGCTTTCCATTTCCATTTTATGGGTAAATTTGTCCCATTCACATTCTAAGTTACAATTACTTGTGTATTTTCCTCCTTCCTAGTTTTCTTCACTATTCTTCTCACCCTATCTACTCTATTCCTCCTCTCTCCTCTGCTTTACTTCTACCTGCTACCGTAATCTCTTATTCCTTAACTTACTCACCCTTCTAAAAGTCCCTCACTTATCCTCTTTCCCCACCTTATCCCCTTGCTCTCTTATTTCTTTCTGAATTTAGAAGACTTTTATACCCTTCTAGATGTATATGTTGTTCCCTCTTTAACCCATTCCCAATGAGAATAAGGTTCCAACACTACTCCTTCTACCCCCTACTAGCTTCTTGTATCTATTTTTCCTTATGCCTTATTTGTATGAGATAATTACTCCTTTTTATCTTTCCCTACACAGTTTTATTTTTTAAGAATCACCCCATCATACTCAGGTCAGCCCACACCTTTCTTTCAAACTACCCAAATTATGATGACAATCGTAAGAGTACTGTTAATATTTTCACTACAAAGTAAACAATTTGACCTTATTGAATCCCTCATAATTGGTCTTCAATGTTTATCTGATATTTCTCCTGGATGTTTTATGTTGAATTTTCCCTTAAGTTCTGGGGTTTTTGTCAGAAAAACCTGAAAGTCTTTGAGTTTGTTAAATGTCCTTTTTTTTTCCCATTCAGGATTATACCTAACTTTGCTGGGTAAGTTACCCTCAGTTGTAACCAGAGTTCTTTTGCTCTGTGGAATATAGTATTCCAAGACCTATGGTCCTTCAAGGTAGTAGCTGCTAGATCTTGTGTAATCTTTATTGTAACTCCATGATATTTAAATTGTTTTTTTCTTGTTGCTTCCAATATTTTCTCCTTAACCTGGGAACTTTGAAACTTGGCTATGCTGTTCCTCTAAGTTTTCCTCCTGGGATCTCTTTTAGGTGGTGATCCATGGATTTTTTCTTTTTTTAC